TTTTCTACTTATATCTTAATTATAAATACAATTTAATTCTTTTAGATTAGTTAATACATTATTATCATCACTAAAAGTTAACAAGTTAATTATTTAATATTGCAAATGTAAATCTAATGTTGTTAATTATTACAATGTTTGCATAAGTATTCCACAAAATATTTCATAATTGGATTTGATGTAAATCATTTCTTTAAATTTATATTTAATAATAATATTTTATCAAAGATTTTACCACGAATAAAAGCAAATATAATTAAAAGTTGCTGAAATATATGAGGGTGAAGAATTTTTATTTAAAAAAGGAATAAAGTATAATAACTTTTGTATATTAAAAGAATCTGAAATTAGAATTTGTTCAATTCAGATTTAGGAATACAACTTAATAAAGTACGAATTAATTTATAATAAGATGGATATTCTTATTAATAGTAGTTCCTATGAGATTTTGAATAAGTTAAATGAATGGTATCGAGATTTTACACCAATGTCTTGAAACTAGTAATGTGCAGAAATGTATATCTCTAGCTATTTAATATAATTAATTTTTTTTATTTATTTTCATATAATCTAGAAATTCATTATGAACGTCCGCAAGTTGATTCATCAAACACAGATGAACTTTATCTAAATTCAGAATTTGTCAAATAAATTTAGATAATAACTAGATGTAAATCAATATAATGATAAAGTTTCTGATTCATATTTGGGTATATTAGATATTATATGATATTAGAAATTTATTATTTAAACTGATCCATTCTTCCCAGTTCATGACACTTTATATTAATATACTACCCATCTATAAGATTTATACTTGTTTTTTGTTTTTCCTTCAACGGGCTTGACTTTCTTTATTTACGTTGTCTAGGTGTTTCACTAAACATTTCTTAAGAAGAGAAGCCACTTGAATTTCGGTATTAGTAATAATATTATGTGTTATATTAATAAACAAATATTTGAAATGTCATGAAAGCATCCCTTGTTTTAATTACAAAATCATTAATTAAAAAACAAAATTTTACTAAAAAAAATTCACTAAAAACGTTAAAAAAAATTTTCGTGTGATCTTATTAGTCAGGAAACAATATTATTGACTAATAAAAAAATTCTCACTAAACAAAAAAAGTTCCCACTAAACAAAAAAAAATTCCACAAAAGAAAAATTCCGTACAAACTTATTAGTCGGAAAACAATACCATCGATTAAAAAAAAAATCTTAACAAAAAAAAAACTGAAAAGCCGTAGCATCGATCTGATCACAGCAGTCACAAACAATTATTTTTCAGGTTAAAAAAAATACTAAAAAAAAAAATGAAAATTTCGGTTTTAGAAAACCGAAAAAAAATGGGTTAAGATAACCGAAAGGAAAAAAAAATCAGATAAAAAAAATTAATAAATAAAAAGACTAAAAAAGAAGCAGAAATGACGAAAAAATTATACTTTTTTTATTAGTATTAATCAACATACCGCAATCATGTGTAACATTCTTAAGGCCAATTAAATTCCTTTAACTATAACAAATACGAAATAGATCGGCGCAGGAATATTACACTTTTCAATGGTACACAATTCAATTAAGTGATCTAAACATGACAATTTTTTTAATTATATAGAATCTCGCAATACCATTTGTCTAAAAAAAAATATAATGATGTTGTTAACTTAATTACCAAAGGAAAATTTAAAAATATATCTAAAGAATAAATAAAATAACAGATAAATACAAATCAGTAAATAAAAAAAAAAATATTATTATTAAAATATTTTTTTACGATAAGGAGTGTCAACAGTTTTATTGAATAAAGGTTTGCATTGTCATACATGTTAAACTAGGAAACGGGAACCGTTGTAGTCCGGAGCGAAAAACTAAAATTTACGATTTCATTGGGTGACGATCACGTGGAGGACAGAGAAATTCACGTGATCGATTTTTTTTTTCATAGTGTGTAGACATATATTGTCCTTCGCTTCGCTCCGGACAATAATGAAATTGACCTACTATGATATTCGACTAAGTAAGTATATTATTTATAAACTTTCAATAATATTTTTTCATTACTATGAATTAATTTTATCCCATTTGTTAATATAAAAAATATTAAGGTTGCTTAATTTTGATATATCTAAGGAAAAAAAGAATATTGAAACTAAAATGAAATAAGAAATAACGTAAACTCAATCAGTTATCCTATTAATATGAATATTATTGTACTAATTATAGAATAAAATTTTATTTTATTTTTTCAATTTTCCTCAGAAAATTTTACATAAAAATAAAGTAAATCAAAATTAATAATCGTTCCTAACACAGACTTTCTTTAAATGGAACTTTCTATTTACAGTAAATTCAATTCACAAAATGATCATATTTCGTAAATTTTATGGAAAAACATTTGTAATATGGAAATTAAAAAGTACTTTACGATATTAAGAATTCATTTTAGGATTAATACGTTAACTCTAAAAAATTGTAATAAAATTTGATCAAAGAGGTAAGTACCAATTACAAAATTTGTCTAACATTTTTATAATCCTATTATATAAGCTTCCGGTCTTTATCTACGGATTCCTGATTTGTCATTTTGGAATTGCTCGTAAATCCCATTGGTTGGCATGTGACTTGGTAATGATATTTTAATATCCTAAGGTAAATATAGGAACAAATAATGTCAAAGACAATAATAAACAATAAATATATGTACAATATTTAGATGTTCAATATATAATAGTTTGGGAATTTCAGGCTACCAATCCGGTTAGTTATTATAAAAAGTGGAATAAGTAAATATCTTGACAAATCAGTTTACTTTTCTAAGAAGATAAATATGAAGTAAGAATATAAACTACGTTATGTCACTGATTATTTTAGTTATAACAGCGATAATAAACCTATATTTAACGACTTTGTTTTAACAAGTTCGTTATTTATTTTATTTTACATAGTAAAATATCATAAACGAAATGGATGATATAGACTCTTACGACCTTTTTAATAAAGTCAAAAAAGACTTTGAATTCGAATCTAACAAACTATCACATTATACCTAATATACAAACTTAAGAAAGTTCACATTTCAAAATTTTACAATTCAAATCTTTTTTACATTCAAACTTTAAATAATAAAAATGTGTGGTTATTATACGTTCAAATTTATTGTTAGATATAGAGAAAATTTAAAATATTTATAAAATATTGTAATTAAAAAATTTGGAAGTGTGTTTTGAAATTTAGATTTGTAAAATTTGCAAAGATATTTTTTTATATGATTATGATTCATTCCTTTATCAGTATTTAATATCCGTTATAATTTATCCGTACAAGATCCATATTTATATATCGTAAACTTTCTTCTTTTATTGTTAACAATAAAGATCTAAGCAATATACAAAATCGAGTTCTTATTACTTAGAATTAAATGCTTCTGAACTTATGTTAAACTAACAAAAATTGAATGAATTGCACAATGCACATGCCTCCATTTCTATAAATTTCAAAATTTTATTCGTATCTGTTATTGTCAGCTAAATGTTTGTAAATTTGGTTTTAATCTATTTAATAGTTCCTTTGACCTTTAAATCTGAGATGATTTATTTACTTCCAGTTGTGGTCAGTACTTTATCATACTATTTTCAGTTTTTTATTGCTATTAGGCTGAAAACAATGAAAACAATTTAAATTTGAACATCGATAAAGTAAGCATAAACTATAATGTTCTTCATTTACTAGTTTTAAACGTAAAATAACCATCAGGTATCACAAACCATTACTTTTTTGGAATTATTATACTATCAGGTATAGTAATTATAGAAAAATATGTCAAATTAATAAAATATTTTTATATCGACAAATTTTTGAACTTTTTTTATAATTTATCTCTTTATTTTATTATGCAAATATCGGTTAGTATAAATTACTTGACTTACGTGTAAGTTCATTAATTTATCTTGACAAATATTTTCTTCATGTATATTTAATTTTTTTTTATACAATTAAAATTGATATTTTTATTCTTTCGTAACGCATAATGTCTTATTTATAAGTTAATCGCTTTTTTTTTTATTATAATGACCTAAATTAATTATTTTTTGCTTAATTCGTGATCCGCAAATAAAGTAGAGAGTCCTATATCGAAAATTGGGGGTCATTATATAATAGCGCAGAATCTGACGTCATGGCAAACCAAAGTACTAATTGTTAAAATATAATATAAAAACTAAGTTTATTGCCATCAAATTATGTTATTTGGCTTACTTTTTGTTGAAAGTCCGGTAAATTTTTTGAGCACTATAAATGACTTACTTATAGGCTTAAAAATGCCTTATTTTTTAACGTTGCGAATAATGGATTTTTACTTTAAGGCTCATAGGAAAGTTATTTCTAATTATTGAAAATTTTACCGGACTTCTAGTAAAAAGTTAGCCAAATGGTATAATTTTATGCTAATGGTTTTAGTTTTTACATCATGTTTAAAAAATTCGTACTTTAATTTGCCGCGTCATCAGATTCCACGCTATTATATATTACTATATATAACTTAACCCCGTTTTTAATAATTAGATTCTCTACTTTTTACGCGGATCACGAATTAACGAATTAATACTCCTCTGCACTTTTTAACTCCAACGACAGCCGACAGGTCTTGTTAGAATCCAAAAATTTTTATTTTGTAAGTTTTATAATTATTTATACCAGTTTCTTTTATTTAATCTAATTGATCGATAAAAACAGCCATTCTGAATTTTTTTTAGAAAAAAGACGTAGTGACTAGATTAATACTAGATTACTTGTTTCACTTTTATTATTATTTTAAACGTGATAGTTCGACGGTGTAACGTTTCAATCGTTTCATGAGCGACTGTGGCCGTGTATGACATGAATGCAGATTGTTATTTGTGCGATACTGGGTAAGTTGTACCGCAACTGTAGATCATTGTTAATAATTTCGGATATAAAACTCCGTTCAGCCTATTTTTTTTTTCTTGCTGTAATTTTCAGCTTTCAATTTAAATCTCCTTCCTTTAAAGCTTGCATTAAAAAAAAAAATTCAATGTCTGTCATTCGACAAGAATTAGCTCATGCAGCAATTGCTAGATCACTTGCACTTAATGTTCACAGTGATATACACAAACGGTATGAATTTCAAAAACAAACAGTTCTTGCTGACGATTCTCTTACTAAAGATGAAAAAACTTTTGCAATAAATTGGTTGACAAAAGGTTATGATTATTTAAAAATTTTATTTAATTCAGGAACAAAAAGAATTTGTGAAAATTGTAAACAAGAATGTTTAGCTACGTTATACTGTGAATTTTGTGTTCGAAATTATTTAAAAACAAAATTTTCAAATTGGACATCTGGAAATGATGATATTGATAACTTAATTCAGAAATGTCAGTTGGAAACACTCTTGTCAAGTAAAATAATTGAATGGATTCCATATAATAAATTACGAAATATTAAGTATCTAACAAAAGGTGGTTTCTCCGAAATTTATACAGCAGATTGGATTGATGGAAGATATGAAGAATGGGATTCTGAAAAACAACAATTAAAAAGAATGGGAGGTCATGAAGTAGTACTCAAAAAATTAGAAAATGTTGAAAGTGCAAATCAAAGTTGGTTTGAAGAGGTTTGTAATCTAAATAATGTATTTATAATTACTGTAACCAGTTTTATATTATTAAAAAGTCTCTAAATTTATATAGGCTAAATCACATTTAACCATAGGTAATAAATGGGCAGATATTATCCAATGTTATGGTTTAACACAAAACATATCAAATGGAAATTATATGCTTATAATGATGAATATGGATATAAATTTAAGAGAATATTTATATCAGAATCATAATAGACTTACATGGAAAGAAAAAATTAATATTACTTTTGAAATAATTAGGGCACTTAATTTGATTCATACTGAAAATGCAATTCATAGAGATTTACATTCAGGAAATATATTGTATTCACAATTAAATGATCGGTGGTTCATTAGTGATCTTGGATTTTGTGGACCAGCTGACAAATCATCAAAATGTATATATGGGAATCTTCCTTACGTAGCACCAGAAGTTATTAATGGAAAGGAATATACTTTTAAATCTGATATTTATAGTATTGCAATGCTTATGTGGGAAATTTCATCTGAACAATCACCATTTATTAATCATGAACATGATTATGATCTTGCAATAAATATTATTAATGGTATTCGACCAAGAATAGTATCAGGAACTCCTGTTGAATATAAAAATTTAATGGAAAAATGTTGGGATGCTGACCCATCAAAAAGACCTGATGTTGATACACTTTTAAATAAAATAGCTAAAATGAATCAAAGTACGCCAGATGAATCATTTCAATCAGAAATATATAGGAATTTAGAACAAGATAAAACAAATAGTAGTACGAATAGCAAATTATTTACAAGTAAAATTCATCAATTTGAAAATCTGCCTGAACCAAGAAACGCAACAGAAGGTAATATCATTTTTAACAAATATTATTTCTATTATTTAAATGTCTGTTAATATTAATCAATATTATTTTTTTCTTCCGTATATTAAATAGAGGAATTAGAAGGTAATATAAATGCAACTTTCATTTTATAATATTACATCACATAATAAATTAGAAAATAAATCATTAATACATTTTTTATTTTGAACAGCATTTCATAGTAATAAATCATATGACTTCAATATTCCAAATAATAGTAAGTTATTTTTTTCAAATTGCATTCAATTATTAGTACGTAATTAAATATTTATTAAATTTTACCTTTTCTCTAGTTGATGATTTTAATAAATCAAGCAATCAGAATAGTAAAGCATCAAAAATAAGTAGTATTTTTAAAGGTTGGTAAATTTATTTATGTATTTCAATAACTTATTATCTTTATATAAAGATAATTGTATAAATTAATAATAATAATTTAAATTTTAAATTTTATTAGCAAATAGTAAAAAATTATCCAAAATGTTTGAAAAGCTACAAATAAAAAATAGTAAGTAAATTGATTAATATTATTCATTAATACATACACTTACTAAATGTAATTTTAATTTAATAAAAAGAAACAACGCAACAAACAAAAGGAGCTACTAATATTGCTAATTTTAATGGTAAGTAAAATGTCAAATATATTTAGTATTTTATATTGTCAACTTTTTTTATAATTATTTAATTTTATTTTGATAATTAAGATGAAGATGAGACATATAATAACCCAAATTTTCATTCCGAAGAACAAAATGAATTGGAAATCCCTGATGGTAAATTTGTTTTTAAACAAAATATGAAAATGTTTTACTACAAATGTCTAATTTTTTCTTTTTTTATCATTATAATTAAATTTTCTAGATGTTTAAAATAAAATGAATTTTAATTTTTTTTTTATAACCTTCAATCTTTATATAACTAGCTTTTTATAAATTATTATAAATATTTTATTCTTATATTCTAAATTATTTAAACACTAACATTAGAGTAGTAAAGTTTCTTACAAATTCTTAGTTTGTAATTTAAATAATTCAATTTATATATATACTAGGCGTAACCGTCACGTTGCGCCAGAAGAGAGTGATAATAACACACTTATATTTTATTTGTATGAAATATTATTAAACACAAATTTTATTTATCACATGAAACAAATGTTGCGGTGCTGTGAAATTTATGATTAATTTATATATTTACAAATTCATTACAAAAACAATTTTGTATAAGTAGTTTATTGTTGCATTTTTACAAAAAATCTTTTTTTATCTTATAAAAATTCCATTGTAGATTTAAAAAAAATTACGTCCTCTGTTGAAAAAAAAATACATATATTGTTACCATATCAGTTACCATATCTCAAAGAAATTCATTGTAACAATCTATTGTTATAGAAAAAAAAACAATTCACTAATTAATATGAAAAAAAAAATCCCAGAAAAATTAATTATAACGATCTATTTCTACAATAAATAAGTAAATTATGTCAGTCTATTATTGAGCTTTATACAACCTAAAAAAAATTATTATTATTATTAAGAATCGGGAAAAAAGGTAATTGCCGTGGCGTCGCAGCATCGATACGATCACCGATCTAAACCTAAATGGTGAAAGAATGTATTTGGGAAAAAAATTTGGTTCGAGAAAAAAAAGCCAAACCGAAAAAGGAAAAGGAGAAAAAAATTTTCGGATTGCCAGCCGGAAGAAAACCGAAATCAAAAAATAAAAATAGAAAAATTCGAAAAAATAAAAAAAAAAAAAATTTGGGGAGGAACAAAGAGAAAATTCGGATTTAAAAAAGAAAAGAAAAAAAAAATGAAAAAAATTTCGTGGAGGGGCAGAGAAAAATTGGGTTGAAAAAAGAAACCGAAAAGGAAAAAGAAAAAGGTGTTTCGAAAGAGAAAAAACGAAAATTAAAAAAAAGGGGAACCGAAGAAATTCAGATCGGTTCGAAAGAAAGGAAAAAAAAATTAACCGGAATTGGATTAGATACAACATGACTTGCCGATCAAGCGTGTCAAGAATACGGGCCAGATACAATTTGACAAGGAGATCTTTAATTTCATTGTCACGTGAAATCGATCGCGTGATGACATGAAATCAACGCAACGCGCACAACTATTAACGTTAACACGAAGGTTGGAATAAAGTAATATTTCCTCATCCGCCCATCTACTTTCGATATTCGAATAATTATTTGATTTCATTAAAATTACGAAGGTAAAATTGTTTCTTTTGTTCCTTTTATATATTATACTTGCAATAACTAATTTCATTATAATCATAGAATTGATCAATCATGAAGAAAGTAAGAAGCTTATACAAAGAATAATAGTCAACACTTGTAATAGTGGTGCTAAAGCATTCAAGGATTTGGATCAGAAAATATTTATTCAAGTAAAAGGAAGGTATAATGCGCTGAATAACGACGTGCGTAATATTTATTGGGCTGGTGAATATTATTTATTTAAATGCTTTATAAGAATTATGACCACAAACATGGCTCTTTCTTTACTGCATAGATAAGCTAAGTACACAAAAAGGAACAGGAAGGAAATACACATTTCTAAAATTGACGGCGACAATAAGCCCGAAAACAATTTCTCAAGATTTGATACCTTTCTTATAAGGCAGAATATTATATTTAAAATATAAGCTCAAAATTTTATATATATGAGATACTGTACATAACACTTGAAATACCTCAAAGCTAACCCGAGCACCATAGAAAATCGCAATATTATCTTGAGATTGGCATAATCCAGTCACGTAGAGTATCTTTCAGAATTACAAATGATGAACGTATTTTTCTATTTTTTGTTTTAATATTTTATTTACTGAAAATAATATAATTATTGTAATAAACTTGTACGTGCTGCTATTTTAAATTAAGCCTTTAAGTTGTTATTTACATCCGTATTGTATTAAATTGTACTATCCGTACATCGAAGTTAATCATAATTTTGATCCGCCATTGCAATCTTTTATACCAAGTATCAACTATATACTAATTCCGTTATATCACATGTACGACAGCATATCTCACTAATTAATACGTAGCAAAACTTAGTTTTTCTGAAACTTTAGTGTCTTGAGCATCAGATTCAGTTTCTCACCCAGTTGATCCAGTTAATTACGAAAAATAAATGGAGGTTTATAAGAGACTTTTTAGTAAAATAATGGAAATATTTTTTATGGTAAGTTTATTGCCTTAAAACAAAAAAGCAAATAATAATAAGGTTAAGTAACTTTAAATATCCATAAATATAGATGGGCGTATTGGATCATGATAATTTATAGTTGTTAGGAAGAGCGTTTCAGAAAAATCAAAGATTATTTAAATTGAATCACAGGAAGCTTAACTATTAATTTTTAAGAGAATGATAATTAATTATCTATATTTTTCATAACTTCTCATTATTCTATGATTTAATTTTGATGATTTTTATATGGGCACAATTTATTTTTACTGGTGGTTAGTCTAAAATTTTTTATTGTAAATGTTCTTTTTTTTCGTCCGCGTAATTTCTTTATATCACGTGAGTTAATCATTACATGAAATTGAACCAATCAATGGATTTTATTCATGTTCTATCTGCTATATACTAACGTATCGGGATTAATCCGGATTTCTGGGTTTGGATCGGATTTAAGACGGATTATCGGATAGATGTAGTGCTTCGATCCGGATGAAATCCGTCATCCGGATTACACAAAAAAAAAATCCGGATTATATCCGGTTTGATCCGGATTGAAATCCGGGTCAGAAATCCGGGTGAAATCCGGAATCCGGATCAGATTTCATATATAAAATTTTTTAGATTGCATATGACGATCCATATTAGAGATAATGGTACTTATTAATACAATTTGGTAGGTTTTTTTAGCCTTTTTTCCGATTTGATTATTGAATTTGAATTAGCTTATTTTATCGTAATTCGGGCCGGCACTATTAATTTGGCCTGAGTTACAAATTTTATTCAAATTTTGATAAAATCAGGCTTAAAAAACAATATTGCGTCTTAAATTATGATTTTACTTAATAAGATTAATAAAAATGTAAAAATAATTTTCACTTTAATTATATTAAATAAATTAATAATAAATAAATAATTTTTTACTAATCATCAATTTATCATTGTTCATGACAAAATTTATATATTACAAAATTATTTATCAGTTGCGAAACTAATAGACTATTTATTTATTACAAAATCTATAAAAAATATTAGAAAAAAATTTTTTTTTCTATCCGGATTCGGGATGAATCCGGATATTTTTCATCCGGATCAAAATCCGGATCAAAACCGGATATCCGGATGAAAAAAAAATCCGGATTCATCCGGATTCATCCGGATGGACTAGAAACGGATCGAAGCACTAGATAGATGTATTTATTTATTTATTTTATGGATTATCGGATAGATGGATTTCGGATCGCATCTCTACTATTATTTAATATCATCACGTGATTTGTATCTCTTAAGATGAGGCTTCGATTCTCTAAAGTTTCACACGCATTAAAATGAGGCTTATAAAAATTTTAACTTAAACGAATAGAAATTTTCAACGTTGTTCCAAGAAAGTTAAAGAATCATAATGGGCAAAATATCCGATAGACCTTCCACGATTTCAAAAGAATCATCACCTACACTTTCTTCAAAAAATTCAAAGGAAATATCATCTTTACAAATTACTTCACCATCGAAAAATAATAACGAATATGAACAAGAAAAATATTCACCTACTAAACATTTGTCCAACATATTTTTAACACTTTCAAATTTTTTAATAATTTTAGTAATCACAATTTTATTAAGTAAAAATTATAACGTGTCATCATATGATCAAATTTGTTTAATTAATATCACTTCACCGAATGAATTATACTATCAAGACAAGACATTACAAAATGTAACTTGGACAATTGAAGAATGTCCTGATGTTTCTCGTAAGTAAATTCTTTTTTGAAGGAAAAGAAGGAGAAGAAATTTAATAAATTAAAACATAATCGATTTTATTTTGTAGTCGATTCGACCGTCACAATATATATTATTGCGAAAAGTTCTGGAAATTTCGTCGTAAACACAACGGCAGTATGTATTTTTTTTTTTTAATATATATATATATTTGTACTAAATCTAAATCATACCATTTTTTTTTCTTTTGTTTTAAAGAAATATGGAGATAAACATATTAAATTTTATATAAATAATTGGTCGTATGAAGATTCTTTTATAGTTTCAATCTGGTCGAATCATGTATTTGGGGTCTCTAATGATTTATTTAGAATTTATCATCCAACTAAAACTATCACTTAATCGTCATTTACGTAATGAAAAACGTAATCTATAAATTTTTCAAAAACGGATTTTCTATGATTTACTTTACTAAATATAATATAAATAAAAGGAATTATTTATGTATGGGATCTACCTTCCGCAATAATCATCATAAAATCATTTTTGCCTTGTTGTACAAAGATGGTTAGTCTGTTTTCTTTGATAAAGAAATTAAATTGATTTTGTGTGAATAAACAATAGGGGGTGGGGTATTGACGTGATTTAATTGGTTATTGTATCGGCTATTTTCCCTAATAAGCCTTCATTTACTAATGACATTTCCTTTATCATCAAACAAAAGCCACGATAATGTTTATTCGGCTAAAATTGTTCTTCATTTAGATATTATATGATGTTGCTGATCATCCATTACTTATATAAACTGAAACCGTACGGTAAATTTTTTTTTTATGAAATCCCCTTTTTTTTCAAAAAAAAAAACCGCCTTACAGAAATCAAAAAAATTCTTCACACATAAACACATAATAATAATTCTTTTTTAACTGTACGCTCTTTGGATCTCGTATTGAAGTGTTATAAGGCAATAACTGACCGTGGTTCCTTTAGATGTTTTGGGCCGCGTGTACGCTAGATCCTTAAAAAATTTTGAAATATGATTGTTTTAAGACGGCTATACTCTTATTCATTTCTAAAATCAATTAATATATGCACTTAAAACATTTTAATTCAGTTAATTTTATACTTTATTTCATTTATTCATTTTATTGTTTCATATAATGTGTTTCACTTTATGTGAAACAAAGTTAAAGAACGTTTGTCCCCTTTTTCAAAATTTTAAAATTGTTATATGTTTATTCTATTTTATTTCCCCTATCTAAATGTCCAATTTGAAGTATTGGCACAAAACGTGTCCTTTTATTATAAGGGAAATTTCCAATTTGAAATATTGGCACAAATCGTGTCTCTTCTTTATATAAGAAAACTCTCCTCTTTTATTTTATTATAAAAATAATTTCTATCGGCAATTTCAATCCAAGGGTTATCATTACCTTGGATTGCGCATGATGTACTGTGTGGAATTGCAAATAGAAATAGTCGTAAAATTCAAAGTAATCAAATAGCGTCCATGGAACTAATAGATTTATTGATTTATTCCAATTTGAATTATTGGCACAAAACGTGTCTCTTCTTTATATAAGAAATCGTGCCCTTTTTTATTTTTTCATAAGGAACATTTTCCAATTTGTAATAGTAAATTTGCTTGCTTAGATATTATACACTCTTTACATATTTCTTCTATTCCCCCTTTAATGCGGGGAGTTTTATTTTATACATTAAATGCCTTATTATATATATTAAATCAAATCTCAAATAATCTTCTTAATAATAACACTTATTGATATTAAAGAAAATACAATTTTTCAAAAATGTTTATTAAAGCCTTATTAACTCTAAACTTGCATGTTAAAATTAATTGAAATTATGATTATACATCTTTTATAATTCAAAAATTCTTTTTTTTTTTTCTTTTTTTTTCTTCTTTTTTAATAAATAAAATAAAAAAAAAATTAGCCTTGTGGCCCTTATTTATGCAATATAGTATATAAATAAATTTTTGTTTGTCGTTGACATCGCGACGCGTGTTTCCCGCACTTAAGCACTAATTATACTTGTCAAGAATTTTTCCAGTATCATCATAATAACTTAGTTTTTTGTTGAGAAAAAAAAATACTAAACTGTGCAGAGTTAAATAAAAACTAGTGTTCACCACCTGTCTCAGATAAGCCAAATTACTTCTTCATTAACAAATTAATGTAACTGCTGGGTGTATATTCTATCACACACAAATGGATTAAGTGGTATCGATAATATAAGCTGTGGTTGTAAAGAACCGCCCTACCTGTTATTCAAAGCTATAAGGCTCGGCCCGCTTGTTCAACTAATGGTTAAGCGGTTCCTTGATCCAAAAAAAAAAAGGTTTCAAATTAATAACTCGTCTTTCACTTTACGTAAATACTATCGGGTACAGAATGTTGTACGTGGTCTTCTAAAAAGAAAATAAAAAAATTTCTTGCGTAAATTGCGTTACACGAAAGAAAGAAGGAAAATAAAATCTCTCTACCATCACACCAACTTCTGCAACGTCTTCAAAATCTTTGTGGTTGTGTTTTGCGATACTTGACGTCTTCTCTTTTCTTCTTATCTTCTTTTCCTGATAGCTCATCCGATCGAGATGATCTCATCTTGCTTTTTTTACCATTCTAAATCCTTATCGACACCAAGACAATTCATTATCAGACCAAGTTACCAGAATTTCAAGACCTAAGTAGGTCGTCCCATTTCTCAAAATATCCAATCAGCTTGCGGGTTCCACGAGCAGTAGCAATAAGTTTAAAACTTTTTATTCCTGTTGACAATAGGAATTGATGATTTGGAATCACTCCACAAACTTACTAAGGTCATTGAATCCGGCACATTCAAAAGGGCTTCTTGTAACTGCTCTCTTTCTTTCCTTTCGCGGGAGGGTCCAAGTTTGCGGGAAACCAACAGACCATAAGCCACCGAGCGACGATGCTTGCTCGAAAATTGATTAGGTGATTTGATCCTTACTGATTGTATTTTTCGTTGTTTCTTTCAAACTAGGAGATATCCTTACCTCATACCGTAAAATGGGTAAGTAGTAGGGCGTCATTTCCTTGACATTAGTCATTTGTACAGAATCTGTTGCGTCATTATAGTGCTTTTGTTTGCTTAACCGATTTCGGTTTAACCAAAAAATGGATCAGCCGGCGCAGTAGGCTGTAATTTTCGGGTCTTACGTTGCGCTGCGTGATTAATCATCATCAATTATTTCATTCTCTGCTTTTGTGTGTCATAACGTTAAAATCCGATTGGTGTTCTAATGTTCTAATGTTATCATACCCAATTATTTAAAGTAATTTGTTTTGCCGTACATAAAAAAAAAAATGAAAAGGTATTCTGCGCTGAACCCGTGGACATCTCCGTATTTTTTCACTTCTGCGTAAGAAAACTAGTAAGGGGGGACCAACCATATTAACGGTATTTTTTCAGCCAATCTATCCATTGTCCAAACACTTATTTTAAAGGAAAAATAGGCACTATAAATTACAACATTTTTTAGTCATTAACTTATACCATATGAGGTTTACCAAGCAGGGAACCCTATGACACCTATGTGACCATCATAGGATCTATTGTAAATGGTCTCATATAGTATTCAATAACATGACATAGGAGATATGTGTCATTTCCAACGGGACCACGGCCTGCCCTTCCATATGAATCAGCTTGGGGCCGGTTACCAATAGAACTTTCACTTTTTTTCAACAGAAGTGGTCGGCAAATTTTCTTTTTCATTTTTTCAGATTTCTAGTAGTATGCAATGAATAAGATGTGTGAGTAAGATAATAGTAGCAGATTCTCCTTCAAAATCAGCAGAACTTAATCATTTGGTAGCAAGATGTGCACGTACAGAGGCTCTATGTCTGGACGCTCTTCTTCCCTATGTGCGAGAACAAAGGCGAAGGATAGAGAAATGAGAGATGTGTGATAAAAAAAAGAAAAGGGATCGTATAAATATATATTTTTTTTGTTGTACAAGCTTTCATAGGAAAAGTATAGGTGATATTAATCATGGTTAAATAATATAATATATAATCAATTAAAGAGCCACAACCTAACTAACCTAAACGCGTACAACACGTACGAAGATAATAAATTAGGTCGAAAAAATACATTTTAAGGGTTTATTTTTCAAAGCAAAAATAAATACTAATGTACAATATTCTTTTTTTTTTGGACAAATTTATACTGTAATTTTTTATTTATTTACTTATTTAACATATAATTATAGAGTTGAATAATCATATTTCTCTGATTTTGCATGCATGATCATCTGATCATAATACATCTTTGTGGAACCGCTAAGATATTGAAGACAAAATTATATTACGCAAGATACTATAAGGAAATATCGCTCTTTTCCTTTCCCTTTTTGGTTTAGGGCTATCTATCTATGAAGAAATTTGATTATGATAATTACTGATTTAAAAAAAGAAATAAATTAAACCTTTGAAAGATTATTTATTTATAGAGTAAAAGGATAACAGCACAATAAATGACGTCCGGTTAATAAAATAATTACAATTTAATAATAAATATAGAAAATAAGATTGTGAATATTATAACACATGCAATTAATTTTATTTTAAAGTGTATTTTCTTTAATGATATATTATTTAAATGTATTGAAGTTTCCAATGAATGAAGATTTGGATTATTACAAATATACCTTCACCACGCCATTGATTAAAATCCCTCAACTTCTTACTTTCTATTTTTCGTAATCTTATAAAATTCTGTATGTACGTTAATATCAGTACACTTGACTAGCTTATACAAAGAACTAGAATTTTATGAAATTTTCATACAAAAAAATGCGCTCCCATTAGTAAAATGTTCACAAGATAAATGTTACGCTTCACTCAATAACCGCTGGGGAGTTGGTTATGCCACATTATAAATATAGATCACATTACTTATTTGATTGAGGTAGGACCCCGAGCCCATACATAGAAAGGTCAGGTCCTGGTTATTTGCTCGGGATGAGCCAAAATCATGTCCATATGTGGATAATGCCGACCAGCATTACATAGCCTGAAGAAATGTGTAGATCTAATGGTAAATGTGTGCCGATCTCCCCATATATAACTCGAGGTCCTACCGAGGAATCTTTTGGCTGAGTGGCTTTACAAAAGAAGGACTAAAATGAATTGTTGGTAAAGAAGTAATCGTAAACATAGGGGCAGTGATTCAAAAAGGAGATGAATTGGGTTTAGACGGGTTCTTTGGATTTGAGTTAATTCCGAAAAACAGTTATGTTGATAAATTTAATTTTGAAGGAAAATTAAGATCTGTTAAATATCGCAATAATTATATTACCATGCTATATAAAAATAGAAATAAGAACAGATGTGGATATTATTGAATGGTTATATAGTTACAGTAAAATAGGAAGTGTGCGGAGAGAATTAGATGATAAACAATATATATATGTGTAAGTTTTGTCAACACGCTATTAGAATTAAAAAATGTAAAGATGTTAGTTAAAGATGACAAAGCTGGGATGCAAAAGACAATACAGGATGTGAAGATACCTGCGATAAAGAAAGAACTTGTTAGTTGTAAAGAGACGATCGAAGAAGTGATTATCATGACAAGTAATTTGTTGATCGATGAGTATGCGTTAGGATGGAATTACATACCGATAGAAGGCTCATGTTGATCATGGTTTAAAGAATTGAGTTCTAATATCATTGTACGAAAATTGATATAATGTTATTGGACTATGTCAAAGATTGTTTCAGTGAATCAAATGGAAGGAACATAACGATAGATTGGAGCGCGTCCTTTAAGTTGATAAGTAATGAAATTACAACGTCAAAAAAACATTACAAATAGAGACGATGCTACGACAAGAAGTTTCAGGGTCAAAAATTTTTTAAAGATTCTGCCAACATATAAAGTGCTATGGGAGAGAAAAATATGGGTATCGATACAAATAAATGCCCAAGATGTTCATTAGAAGGAGAAACATGGGAACACATAGATCTGTAGCAAAAATGGAGCAAATGACACTGAATACAATATTTTTGTTAATAGCATCGACGAAGTGTTGAGCAACATAGAAAGTGACGAAGTATATAATGAAGAAGATATAGTTAGTTTCAAAGATAGAATTATGGAGTTAGCGGCAAATGCTTCGTTAATAACTAGAACCGAAAATTTGAATCCTGAAATAAAAAGAGGTATTATTAATAAAAAGTGATGGAAGATATGTAAAGTTAAAGGCCAACGTGAATTACTGTTTCATATTTTTGACAAATTTATGATAAGGATACAACAACAAATCCGGAATAATATGTGTAAAGATACGATCGAACTGGAAAAACATTTGGGAATTACAAAAGATTTAAAAAGAAAGAAAAAGAGAAAAGATGAAGATAGTGGTGTAGGCGGGAACGACGTAGACTGATAAATAAAAGAGTCAAAAAAGTTATAAAAAATATAATGTTAGAAAAGACGTATTTAGGTTAGGTAATGACAGGAAATCATGGGGAAATAAATACATAGAATACATGCAGAATTAGATAGTTAATTTTTACTTCGTTTTATTATACGGAGATTTGATATGGAGAGATTTAGGATACTTTGTTTCCCTAATATTTCAATGTATTTTTTATATTTAATATATTTAACATGTAATTTGTTCTTCTACAGTTACTAATAAAGAAATAAGTTTATCAAAAAGGGGGGAATATTTTCCAATTCTATACGATACTTCAAAAAACGTTAGAAAAATAGCAATGCGATCTTGGTTTATTTATTAAATTTGCAAAAGGCGACAATCGTTTCTTGCACATTTTAAATTGTAATATTAAATAATGAAGTCAATAATAATTCGCTAAAATAAATAAAATTTTGTTTAAATGAAATTTGGCTACAACATTAAATTGTCCCTCTTATAAGTAAATTTCTTCTTTTAATACATTACTTATTTTATCTTTATCACAGTTCTGTGTCTTATCATATTCGAAAAAGAAAGTAAGCATATGCAAGTTAGTAACTCTAGTATATTAATGTAAAGCTGCGAATTATCACTTTATCAGAAAATAAATGAATATAGAATTTTAAACGGGATTAGTCAATTAGGTATTACTAATACTTATTCGGTTTGGTCGCAACTCTGTGAGTAATACAGTTAAACTGTTAAACTCATAGTATACTGAAGAAACCGTTATGACTTGTGACTTGTGAGTACGGAACTCAATTAGTATGGCGTTAGGACCCAGAAATATATATATAGGGGTCAGGTGGTGAAAAATTTTTTTACTATGAGCTGTACGCAGAGACTTTTTATATGAGTAGTACGCATAATTGACACCTGATATTGAAAATCCTGCAAAAATAAGCAAATAAAATTTCAGACATTAAGTTATTAATTATTTTATCATGGCTTCTATATTATTTATAAAACCAAATACTAATGTGAAAAAATAGAATTTACCATTTTTTTAATAATATATTTCTAAAATTTCACTTTTTAACCCTTAGAAATTTCTTTCAATTAATACTAAATATTACAATGCGGTTAATTAAATAAGTACGTACAGTAAATATATTATATATATAAGATTAGCCAAATTTAGGCCAAAAATACGCAAACTAATTTTTTATATATAAAAATTTTGATAAAAAATACGCAATCTTGATGACCTAACTATAGATGAAAAATTCTAAAATTGTACGCAAATCAAAACTTTACTCCGTCTAATTTCACTATGATGGCGACGCATCTGTGTACCCTACCCCTGTATATATATTTCTGGGTCCTATGGCGTTACGTCAATTAATATAATAAAGATTGTATGATAACAATGAACGATTAGTGAGTTACATAAATTTCTAAATATTTCCGATGATAAAACTGTTTGCAATAAAAAATTCGTAATCTTGGAAATATTCTTTTCCGACCTTTCAGTTTTGAAAGGCTTCAAAGTATAAAAAACTAAAGGCTGCGAGAAAGAAGAAAAACAATATTTTACATCATATTACATCATATTATATAATTAAATAATCTTATACTGTATAATAAAATTATTTTCCCACACGAGCCATTTTTTGTTATAATATCATGTTAGAACAATAGTTAATATTTTTTTATTTTACTTATGTAATCGAATCTAGTGGTGATAAGTATATAGATATATAATAAATAATGAAATATATCAAAATCATAATAAATAAAATAATTTTTTTTTAATTAGTAACACGTTTTATTTAATTATTTATAATCATAAAGATTAACATAATTTTTAAAATACCTAGAGGTATCGTCGAAAGACGATAACCCTATAATAAATAAAATAATTTTTAAATATAGAATAGAATTTATTATACAGATTATCATATAACGAATAATATGATGTAATATATAAATAATAAAAAAAAAATTTTTTTTTTGTTAATGTAGTTAAATGATTTCCAATCATTTAGGATAAAAAGGATGTAGTTTAATATTAAGTTGTTTTAAGTAATAGTTATTTCACAGAGAACTGATTTTGACAGCTGCATGATATTCATGATATTCCCACGGTCCGACCATAAAAAAATTTTAATTTAATGATGATTGATTTTTTTCTAATAATAATAGTTTTTCTTTTCAAATAAACAAAATAAACATCATTTGTGAGAATATTAAGAAAAAAAATCATGAATTATTATTAGGAACAGTGTGATGAAAATAAAAATATTATTAATTACCAAATACATAAATTAATACATCATTTATAACAGTAGACAATTTATTTAAAGATTTAACAACCAAAAGAGTGCTAGTCTCTTTTAGTTTAAAAATAAATGGAATTACTATCGATTTCTTTAATAGTAGAAAAATTGGAATAATTATAGTTTTCATATAATTTTTACTGATAATATTTTCTACTCCTTTACTTCCTCTATTTCTGCTGAAAATGAGTGGTCATGTTAACAGATGAAACTAAAAAAAAATAAGACAACTGAAGAACCAATAAATTTTTTATGTGAAAAGGAGACTTGAAAATTGATGAGAGCAAGAAAGAAATTGTTTATAATGAGAAAGATTACATGTTCTAAATTAACAAATCTAAAAGAGAAATCAAACGCCTTGGGATTTTTTCAGGCAAAAGAATAAGTTTATTACTGGAAGTGAAATTGACAAACTGATGCGTTATCTCGCCATTATGGCTTAGACTTAGACAATGAGAAGTGTACTTATCTGAGGTCTTTAATCTCAATGTCTACTAGTAGTATGTTTCTAGCTTTTTGTCAACATAATTTAGAAACACCCAATTTATTATAGATTGATATTTTATTTTTTAATAAATGATTATATGTATGAAAATGTATTATATGAAGATTTTGTCACCCATTAAGGAAAGTACACATTTTTTGGCACTTTCTTTTCTCTGTCTCCTTGTATAATTTGCAATATATTATCGATCTATATATACAGTATATCTTACAATGACTTTTGCAGGTTCTTTCTCGTATCTGAATAATACCATTTATGGTATTCAATAATAAAGCTGTAATAGTGGATCTGGTGATGATGATGGAGGTGTAACCAAAAACTGATACAGATGTCGAGTTTTGAAAGTTGCTGTATTGAAAAATATCAACATAATTTACACTATTGTTATTATTATCATTATAATATAGGAACAAATAAAAATGATAAGGAGGGATTTGAATAGTATAAAATATCTGCTAGAAAACCTGCTGAAATTGGTAATGCATTATAATAAAGAAATATATCAACAATATTCTTAATTTTTTGATAGCTGTCATCATAAATTGTTGATAATATTAAATATTTTAAATTTACTATGCCTTTTTTCAATCTCCATCACACCAGCAATTGTTGCCTCTTCAGGATACTGAATTTATCATGGATCTATTAGTAACAAAATGATCATCAATGTCAATTTCTGAGAGTATTCCAAATGACACTCACTTACCAAAATGCCATCCAACTTCTTCACTATTATGGTAGAGTTTACAGTTATATTATGTGTACTATAATATTTCTTATGATTTCACACATTCTTACAGAGCTTTGGAATAAACTTTACAATAACTGGCTGAGTCTTCATGAATATTCGGAATACTAAAAGATCACGTTCATAATTTGTTAAGAAAAAGTTATAACAGATGTTATGAATTATAAAAAATCTATAGAAGAAAGGTAAATTAACCAAATTACTTACCAAGAAGAATGTTATAACTTATAAAGGAAAATCATGCAGGCAAGAATAGTTTTTATTTAATTTTGTGTTTCATGATTATGGTTTTGTATTAAATTTACTTCTCAAAAATTCTAGAATACTATATTTCTTGGAGTATATTGCTGAATCAATCAGCATTACATGAAATAAGTGCACACCTGTGGGCCACTCATCCATTGTACAAAGATTTGAAGGATAAGGAAGTTGTCAACAAGTTTTTAATTATAGGAAAATGAAATGGGAGTTATAATTACTAGTTTAATTGTGGTTAAAACCAGCTTAATAGGACTTAATGTAATGATAATTTTTTGTACTTTTTTAGTGATAGCTTTTAGCATTGTAATATTTGAATATAATTTTCTTTGGCCCTAAATGTTGTTGCTAGAAATACTGTAAATTACACAATATATTTAGAAACGCAAGCTCTGCTAATCAATTTAATATGCAAAAGTATACATTGTTCTTTATATATAATTTAATTATTAGTTAATTATGGATGTAATTAAATAAATTGCAAATAATAAAATATGCAGTGGATGGTAATATCATTTTTAAATTATTATTTGATTAAATGTTTCAATCGTATAAGTTGTTTCAGTTGTTTACAAGATATATAAAGTTAACATTGTAACATAAGCAGCAACTTATGACAACTTATACATATGACCATACGACCATACGTCCATACGTCCATACTAGAGGTCTGCAAACGGGACCCGGAACCCGGAAACCCTAACCCGGCCCGGACCCGGCTCCGGGTTTGGGCCGGTAAATTTTCTTCAAAATTCACCCGGGCCGGGTTCGGGCCGGCACATGAATTTTCGTCAAACCCGGATTTTCGTAATTCTGGCCAAAATCGTCTTAATTCCGGCCGAAATTAAACTTGCCAAAATTAAGTTGGCCAATTTTTTTGTTTTTACAACAAAATAATATAATAAAAGTCCGGGTCCGGTCCGGGCCGGGTTTTTGATATTTTAAGTCCAGGCCGGGCCGGGTTGTAAAATAGTGGTCAATGCAGACCTCTAACCTGGATGTCATGTAGTAAGACAAGAAATTACACAATTTATAAAGAAAAAAATAAACTATTTTTGGATATGTTGTACAGTTAATCATTGCTACACAAATATTTTTACATTTTAAAAATAGATAACTAAAAATAATGAATAATAAATTTCTAAACTAGGTAATTTTTTTTTTATATGATAATTGTGCTACTTAGATAACAGTTTATTATAGAATGTAATTATTATCAACCAACTAAAATAATTAGTTCTATTGAAGATGAATGTGATTGATTGAATAAGAAAATTAAGAAAGTGATAAAGAAATATTTTGATTAGTGTAAATTGATAAAAAATATTGGGAAGGTATTTTGATTACAATTATTAGTATGTAATATTAAAAAATATGCCATATACATTAAATCATAAAGGCACTAATTAAGAAAGTTTAAAAAGTAAAAAAAAAAATTGGAAAAATGGGAAAAGGATTTTTTTCTTTTCAAGACGTACTTAAGTTTCAATTAATAATGTAACCATAAATCCTAATTTTACTAGCATAATCTTGAATGTCATGAAGTAAGATATGGTATTATAAGCAAACAAAATAAATTATTTTTGAGTATGCTATACAGTTAATAATCATGATTTCTACACAAGCATTTTTACATTTAAAATAAATAATTAAAAATATAAATGATTATAAAAGTTTTAAATGTTAGTGATTTTTTTTTTATTTGATAGTTGTGCTATTTAGATTTAGTCAGTTTATTTATGGAATGTAGTTATTATCCAGGGTATCGGCTAAAACAATTAGTACTATTGAAAAATGAATTTGTATAATTGAATAAGAAAATTAAGAAATTCATGATTAAGATTTAGAAAAAGTGTAGAGACATTTGTTTCAGTACTTAATTTTTAAGTAATGAATAAATTTTGTTAATACAATTGCTAGTTGCTAAATTGACTTTATAAAAAATATAATCCTGGCTCGACAACAATATTTAAAGATTATAGCTTTTTTGTTTGCAAATTTAGAAATTTCTGGTATTTTGCTATTATCACGTTTATAAAAAGCATTACTTAATTTTAAACATGTGAAACAAGGATATGAAAAATTTATACAAAAAAAAGATTACCTTTGCTGGCAAATTATAAAGAAAATATAAGAAAAAATATAAAAATAAAAATTTAAACTAAAAAATGTTTGATTTTTTCTGTTTTCTATTAAAAAAATCTAGCAATTGTCATTAAATAATCCAGTAAAAACTCATTTTCTTGTTAATTTCGCAAATTAATTTTACTCTCGTTACACATACTACTTTAAGAATATTATTAATTTTCGTGAATTTATTAATTTATTGTAAATGTTATGGAAAGTATTTTATTAAATTTATTAAAGCCCTTTTTATCAAATTAATTTGCTTAAAATAATCAAATACATTTAATAAGAATTCTTTATTTTTCATAAAAAATTGGGTTCTTTAAATTTTTCTTTTTTAATAAAAATTTTTTTTTTGTAAATCTTTTAATTCGCTAGTATTCAAGATTGTTAAAATTTAGACATTTTTGGTTAATAAAATTCCATATTAGGAAACTTAATGAAGACTATGATGAAAAATCGTCATATCATAATTGTCATATAATGAAAAGCATAATGTTAAACATGAATGAAAAGTCTAATCTACTTTCGGAAGTTATTTAAGTTATTTCTTTCTGTGACAAAAATAAAAAATAAAAAATAAAAACCAAAAATAAAAGTCATCATGGAACATTGAAACATGATGTTTTTTGTCAACCCTTTGTGTCTACGGTGGGCCATAGTACTCAATCACCTATCATTGGAAAAAGCTTTTGATGATCGATACTAAATATAAAGTATACTATTACTTAAAGTCTTTAACTAATTCGATTACATAGTAATATTTTTTTTCTCGGAAATTTTCATGATAATTAGGAGTTACCCACCTTGAAAAAATAAAAATTTATTCATAGTGAGTATTTTCAAATATCATTTATCAAATTTTTATTTTAAAATATTTAAAAATTAACAAAAATAACAAAAATATTACTTTACAATCATTTGATTTTTCTTTATATATATATTTTTTTAGTGTGATCAAACAATATACTTAATAAAATTAAAACTGAATAAAATTTTTAAATATATGAATTAACTAAAATTCATTTTCAAATATACGATCTGGATGGATTCGTCACCCGTTTAATCTGGTCCTTAAATAAATGGATGATCCGGATGACCATCCGAATGAATTTCAATATAAAAATCCAGATGTCCGATCCGTAAATAATGGATCCGGATAACCATCAGTTACTATAAAATAGTACTAATCGAATAAATGGATCCGTATTTATATACAGAAATAGCAGATGACGTCATGACGAATCATTCGTACCTTCATCCAGAGCAAATCCGGATGGTTTCAAATCGAATAAATCTGCAGATTGGCAGATTGGCAGATCAACAGATCGCAATGGTATGGACTAGAGGTCTGCATTGACCACTATTTTACAACCCGGCCCGGCCCGCACTTGCAAATCAACATAAAGTACCCGGCCCGGCCTGGACTTAAAATATCAAAAACCGGCCCGGACCGGACCCGGACTTTTATTATATTATTTTGTTGTAAAAACAAAAAAATTGGCCAACTTAATTTTGGCCAGTTTAATTTCGGCCGGAATTAAGACGATTTTGGCCTTGACGAAAATTCATGTGCCGGCCCGGACCCGGCCCGGGCGAATTTTGAAGAAAATTTGCCGGCCCAAACCCGGATCCGTGTCCGGGCCGGGTTAGGGTTTCCGGGTTCTGGGTCCCGTTTGCAGACCTTTAATTCAGGTTATACCGAAATTAGAATTTATGGTTACATTATTAAGTGGATCCTAAACTAAAAAAAATTTCCTTCTCCAATTTGGTTTTTTTATCAATAAATAAAAATTTTCATTTAAACTTTTATAAGTTGCATTATGTCTCCTATTCGTTATGAATTAGTTTATGCAACAACTAGTAGAGCAACTTCATTAATTGATTATAATATTTATACTGATATGCACCAACAACATGAATTTAAAAAACAATTCATTCTTACTGATAAACTTCTTACAGATAATGAAAAAGCTGTAGCAATTAAAAGAATAACTGAAACTTATGACCGAAATAAAGTTCTTAGTAATACGGGATCAAAAAGAATTTGTGAAACTTGTAAGCAAGAATGTTTAGCGACATTATATTGTGAATATTGTATTCGAAATTATTTAAAAGATAATTTTTTAAATTGGACTTCTGGAAATGATGATATTGATAATTTAATACTAAAATGTCAAATGGAATGTCTTGGGCCAGGCTATGTAATTGAATGGATTCCATATAATAACTTCAAAAATATTAAATATCTAACAAAAGGCGGATTCTCTGAAATTTATACTGCAGATTGGATTAATGGAAACTATGAAGAATGGGATTCTGAAAAACAACAATTAAGAAGATCTGGAACTATAAAAATAGTACTAAAAAAATTAGAAAATGTTGAAAGTGCAAATCAAAGTTGGTTTGAAGAGGTTTGTATTTTAAATTTATCTATAAAATTAATCCAATCTTTTTTTTATTAATAATAAGTTTTATAGGCTGAATCACATTTAACTATGAGCGCTAAACTCCCATATATTACCCGATGTTGTGGTTTAACACAAGATATATCGGATGGAAATTATATGCTTGTAATAATGAAAATGGATATGGATTTAAGAAAATATTTACAACAAAATTATAATCAACTTACATGGAAAGGAAAATTTAGAATTGTTTATGAAATAATTGAAGCACTTTATTGGATTCATAAAGAGAATGCAATTCATAGAGATTTGCATTCTGGAAATATATTATTTTCACAATTTAATGATGGTTGGTATATTAGTGATCTTGGATTTTGTGGACCTGCTGATAAATCATCAAAAAGTATATATGGAAATCTTCCCTATATAGCACCAGAAGTTATTAATGGAAAAGGATATACTTTCGCATCTGATATTTATAGTATTGCAATACTTATGTGGGAAATTTCATCTGGTCAACTACCATTTATTAATTATAAACATGATGATTATGATCTTGCAATGGATATAATTAATGGTATGAGACCAGAAATTGTGTCAGAAATTCCTTTAGAGTATAAAAATTTAATGGAACAATGTTGGGATGCTGATCCATCAAAAAGGCCTGATATTGATATACTTATTGAGAAAATAAGAGAAATTCATTTATTATATCAAAATAAGCCAAATGAATTGTTTCAATTAAAAGCAAAAAATAATTCTGAAACAAAAACCAATTCAAATTATACAAGTAGTAGCAGAGTGTTTACAAGTAAAATTCATCAATTTGACAATCTACCTGAACCAAAGAATGCAACAGAAGGTATTATTTATTTATATTTTTGTTTATTATTCATTAGGATATATTGTTAATTCTTTTTTTTTAATTTAAATAATTATAGGAGAACAAGAAGGTTAATTTTTTTACTATTAGTATTTTATTAATTATTAAAATAAATGTTTAAATCATTTTCTCATTTATTTTTTTTTTTTAAAAAATAGGATTTCACAGTAAAACATATGACTTTAATATTCCTGATAATAGTAAGTGTTCATTATAAATTTCATTTTAATTGGACTATTTATTAATTAGATTTCCATTTTTAGTTGATGATTTTAACAATTCAAGTAATCAAAAGACGTCAAAAATCAATAATTATTTTAAAGGTAATTTATCTATATATATTTAATTATTTTTGAGTTAATAATATTTAATAAATTTGTCTTATTTAGCTAGTAGTAAAAGGTTATCTAAAGTATTTAAGAAATTACAAATAAATTCAAAGAATGGTAAGTATAATAATTATAATTATTCGTCATACTAAAGCAGTACAGTATATATTAAATTGAGCTTTATTTATTTTATTTAAAAATATAGACATTCAAAATGATAATAAAAAGGAAACTATACAACAACAAATAAAAGGACCAATTAATGGTAAGGAACAACATTAAGATAAAATTTTTTTTTCAATATTTAGTTAAATATATTAAAAATTTTATCTCTTATATAATGTTAAACTAAAAAATTCATTTTTCTTTTTATAGATGAAGAAGTATATGATAGTCCAAATCTCCATTCAGAAGAACAAGATGAATTAGAAATTCCTGATGGTTGGTTCTTAAATATTTTAAAAAATAATTTTTTTTTTTTTACTATAAATTTGTATTCTGATCTGTTATTTTTTTCTTATTTTTAGAAATACCATCTGATAAACTAAATTAAGAATACAAATAAATTTATTTTTATCATTCATTTATACTTTATTTTGAATTATTTAAACACTAAAAATTAGAGTAGTAAAATATTTTTACAAGGTTTTAGTTTGTAATTTAAATAATTCTTTTTATACATATAATAAACTAAATTATTATACGAATAAATTATACAAAAAAAAAAATGCCTAAAATATTCAGTTTCTAATTCATCTCATAAATGCTGGACAATATTCTATGTGTCCCATATCTGATATGGTGTTTCTGTTTTTCATTTATTGTTAATTATCTCTTTTCATTACAATTAACATTTTTTTTATTGACGCTCATTTGAGATAAAAATTACCTACTACAGTCAAACCTTTATATATCGATATGTCGGGACTCATAAGAAAAAATTTAAAAAATATCGTTATATCAAATTATACCGATATTTATATGTCCTCACATATAGTGGGAATGTAAAATTTTATCGGTATATTCAAGTTTTTAATAATGTATCAGTATATCGAATATCGGTATATCGAGTTCTGACTGTAGTTTATCAAAGTAATAAAATCAATTACTCAGTTTAATATTGAAAAAAATTATTTATCACTTCACTAGTTAACTGCTCTCGCCTAGTATACCACATAATATTTATGAATAGCTATTTTGAAATTTGGAAAATTCATTTCTTCAGCTAAATTAGAATCCCTAAAAAAAATTATCCGAATATTTCCATTATTTCTCCGTGTCGTCCGTAAAAATTCCGTGAAAATGATACATTCACGGAAAAACATGGAAAGATAACACACGGATCAGATTTTTTACAGGGAACATGACTGAGGATGTGAAATAGCTTCACCATACTGAATTATTTAGTACCTACAATGTGAAGTGGAGCTGTATATAAAAAATAAATATTTATTGTTATATGGATTTTAGTATAATAAAGCAAGATACTCGCATAATTAAGTCATTTATTGCCAGTAGTTGATAGATAATTTGATTTGAGATAAAATTTCAGATGTAGTCATTTTAAAATTTTTCGTAATAAATCAATGTGATAATTATAAGATAATAGGATCAGCGCAACTTATGATAGATGTCACATGAAAAAAAATGTGTTTGTGTGACTAACGTTTAGATTAGCCTGTATAAATTGCTGATCTGTATTCTTTATAGTTAAGACCCGCTTAATCGGCAAGTCATGTTGTACATCTAATCCAATTCTGGTTAATGAAATTTTAATCTTTCGTTTTAGACCATATTATTAATTTTTTTTTTTGAATTTTTTTTTCTATTCTTTTTAGACCGAATTATTGTTTTTTTTCGGTACTTATTTTTTTTTTAACCCGATTTTTTCTTTATCCCTTTTCGTTTTCCTCAAATTTTTTTTCTTTTTCTTTCGAATTTTTTTTATTATTTTTTCTTTTTCCTTTTCAGTTTCTTTTTTCAATCCGATTTTTCTCTTTGTTTCTCACCACAATTTTTTTTTTCGTTTTTATTTTTTCAAATTTTTATTTATTTATTTTTTTGTTTTTTTCGGTTGGCTTTTTTTTCAATCCGAAAATTTTTCCCTTTTCCTTTTTCAGTTTGGCTTTTTTTCTTTCAAACCGAATTTTTTTTCACGAATATGATATTCTGAATTCTGATTCTTATTATTAATAATAATATTTTTTTGTATCAATAGACTAACATAATTACTTATTTATTTATTTTTTGTGACAATAAATCGTTATAATTAATTTTTCTGGGAATTTTTTTTTTCATATTAATTAGTGAGATATTTTTTTTTCTAGAGGATGTAATTTTTTTAATGCTACAACTGAATTGAGTTTTTTAAGATAAAAAAAAAGATTTTTTGTAACAATGTAACAATAAACTACTTATACAAATTGTTTTTGTAATGAATTTGTAAATTTCACAGTACTGCAAACATTTGTTTCGTGTGATAAATAAATTTTGCGTTTAATAATAATATTTCATGTACTGTATAACACTTGTACACAATTCATTTTTATTTGCATAATCATATGTGCATATAAATTGTGTAATTTATTACATTTATTTCCTACTAATGCCATCATAGTAATAAGAGTAAAAAACTAGTAGACCTATTCACACTGCATGACAAATAAATATAAGTGTGTTATTATTACTCTCACGCGACAGGTTACGCCTAATTTAATACAAATATATTCATAAAAAATGTTAGAAATACTAAAGTTATATGATTTACTATGAGATACTATTATAATAAAGAGTCCTTGTAAATAGTCAATAATGTAAAAGGTTTTTATATCACGAATGATAATATTATAATTATACCTTCTCAAATTTATGAATTTTACTTCTAGTCGATCTGCTTATTGTGTGATTTTTTTAAAAAACTTCCTTAATTTTTTCTGTTTATTATTTCGTCTATTGCTGAATGGCCACTTTTGTCATATGATTATTTTTTCCTCTTTTTGACTACACAATTCGATTCTATTTCCGTCAAGTTAATTTAGCACTTGTATTAACCAAATTTTTTTATTACTTAAAATCTCTTTATTCATTTCAATTAAACCATAAGTTTATCTTCATGTACATACCTAAAATTCCCTAAGCTAAGTACTAATTGTAAAACAAATGTCTTTACACTTTTTCTAAATCTATTTCATGTATTATAATGTTTTGCTGGTATAAATACCAATAATAATCAATTACCAATTTCTTAATTTTCTTATTCAATTATACACATTCATTTTTCAATAGTACTAATTGTTTTAGCTAATTTCCCGGATTTTAACTACATTCCATAAATAAACTGACTAATCTAAAGAGTACAACTATCAAATAAAAAAAAATCACATTTAAAACTTTTATAATCATTTATATTTTTTAATTATTCATTTTAAATGTAAAAATCATGTTTGTGTAGCAATGATTAATATAACATGCTCAAAAATAGTTTATTTTGTTTACTTATATAATTTAATATCTTACTTCATGATATTCAGATTATGCTAGTAAAATTAGAATTTATGGTTACATTATTAATTGAAATCTTAAGCACGTCTTGAAAAAAATTCCTTTTCCCATTTTTCCAATTTTTTTTTTTACTTTTTTAAACTTTTTTAATTAGTGCCATTATGATTTAACGTATAAGGCATATTTTTTTTTAATATAACATACTAATAATCGTAATCAAAATACTTTCCCAATTTTTTTTTTAAATCTCTATCGTGTTCGCCGTGAATCACACTAATCAAAAATATTTCTTTATCACTTTCTTAATTTTCTTATTCAATCAATCACATTTATTTTCAATAGAACTAATTATTTTAGCTGGTTAATAATAACTACATTCTATAATAAACTGTTATCTAAGTAGCACAATTATCATATAAAAAAAAAATTACCTAGTTTAGAAATTTATTATTCATTATTTTTAGTTATCTGTTTTTAGAATGTAAAAATATTTGTGTAGCGATGATTAACTGTACAACATATCCAAAAATAGTTTATTTTGTTTGTTTATAAATTGTGTAATTTCTTGTCTTACTACGTGACATCCAGACTATACCAAAATTAGAATTTTGGTTACATTATTAAGTGGGCTAAAGAAAAATCCCCTTTCATATTTTTTCAATTTTGTTTTTTACCAATAAATAAATAAAATTTTTTTTTATTTAAACTTTTGTAAGTTGCATTATGTCTACCATTCGTTATGAATTAGTTTATGCAACAGCTAATAGAGCAGTTTCGTTAATTGATTATAATATTTATACTGATATGCGCAAGCAACATGAATTTAAAATACAGTTCATTCTTACTGATAAACTTCTTACAGATAATGAAAAGGCTGTAGCAATTAAAATTATAACTGAGACTAATGATCGAAATAAAATTCTTTTAAATTCAGGAACAAAAAGAATTTGTGAAACTTGTAAGCAAGAATGTTTAGCAACATTATATTGTGAATATTGTGTTCGAAATTATTTAAAAGAAAATTTTTCAAATTGGACATCTGGGAATGATGATATTGATAATTTAATACAAAAATGTCAAATGGAATGTCTTGGGCCAGGCTATGTAATTGAATGGATTCCATATAATAACTTCAAAAATATTAAATATCTAACAAAAGGCGGATTCTCTGAAATTTATACTGCAGATTGGATTAATGGACATTATAGAGAATGGGATTCTGAAAAACAACAATTAAGAAGATTTGGAACCGTAGAAATAGTACTTAAAAAATTAGAAAATGTTGAAAGTGCAAATCAAAGTTGGTTTGAAGAGGTTTGTATTTTAAATTTATCTATATATTAAATAATCTTTTTTATTAATAACAAATTTTTATAGGCTAAATCACATTTAACTATAACTTCCAAATGGCCGAATATTGCCTCATGTTATGGTTTAACACAAGATATATCAGATGGGAATTATATGCTTGTAATAATGAAAATGGATATGGATTTAAGAAAATATTTACAACAAAATTATAATCAACTTACATGGAAAGAAAAAATTATAATTGCTTATGAAATAATTGAAGCACTTTATTGGATTCATAATGAGAATGCAATTCATAGAGATTTGCATTCTGGAAATATATTATTTTCACAATTTAATGATGGTTGGACTATTAGTGATCTTGGATTTTGTGGACCTGCTGATAAATCATCAAAAAGTATATATGGAAATCTTCCCTATATAGCACCAGAAGTTATTAGTGGAAAAGGATATACTTTTGCATCTGATATTTATAGTATTGCAATACTTATGTGGGAAATTTCATCTGGTCAACTACCATTTATTAATTATAAACATGATGATTATGATCTTGCAATGGATATAATTAATGGTATGAGACCAGAAATTGTGTCAGAAATTCCTTTAGAGTATAGAAATTTAATGGAACAATGTTGGGATGCTGATCCATCAAAAAGGCCTGATATTGATAAACTTTATGAGAAAATAAGAGAAATTCATTTATCATATCAAAATAAGCCAAATGAATTATTTCAATCAAAA